TAATAAGGACGTAGACAAACATATCATAATACTGTAAATTTATGTGGGATGTTGTATAAATACGTGATATATTATATATATTCTTAAATAAACTGTTAATTAGAATTGAAAAAATATTACTGTTATTCTGGCACCTCATATGTTCATTACAATGAGGAAAAAAATTCAAGAATTGACCGTTTGTGTAAAAAAAACTGTGTAACATATACGAGCGATGAATTTTTCCAAATGTTTTGATGAATAGATGTTAGCAAGTAAAGTTAGTCCTAAATCTACAATATTTTGATCAAAACAACCTTAAGAATACGTACTGATCAGAAGGTCTTTAGTAGGGCTTTTAATTTATCAGATTTGAGAAAAAAAAATCTATTCTAATTCTAGTCTATTTTTTGTTGCTAATTCCACTCCAAATTTTAAATTTAAAACGAACATTTCAATTTTGTACTATGACTTCATTAACCAACCTTCAAAATTATCAATTATCTCATAAATATAATTCGAGTCAAAACAAAATCTTACCAACGCAAAATTTTACAAAAACAAACTACCGTCATGTCTATTTTAAACATATCCAATTATAGAAATGATTTGCTTATTGGTGCATTTTTTCGCATCCGCATTATGCAGCAATAAATTGTACGAATTTTAAGAGATAATATAGAACAAATTTGTTTATAATAAATAATAAATTATATATATGTTTATATAATAAAACAGAGGTCAATGCCATGGATGATGAAATTATACGACATAAACAATTGACCTCGGGGATTAAATTAACGATTAAATAAATGGTTTTATATTGCGTTATGCACAGAATGAAATGATATCAGTGCATTTGCATTTAAAATCAACTTCTTGACCAGTAAGAGATTATTGATATTTTATAAATTAATTGAACACACACACACACACATATATATATATATATATATATATATATATATATATATATATAATATAATATAATATAATATAAATTTACATAATTCAATCACTTTCCATATGCCTATAATATTTTACAAATCGGCTTAGACAATGACCATCATAATATGCAAAATATACAATATGGTCAATATAATTTTTTCACAATTAATTACAAAGAAACGGTCTGGCAGATATTTTCAAAAACCAATCAGCACGATTTCCAGCAGATACCTTTCGAAAAGTTTTTAAACAATCAACATCGGTTCAAACTTTTTGGTGAAAACTTGGGCAAATATTTTTGCAAAACTAATTAACTTATGGAGTTGCATAAAATGATTTAAATTTTTAAATTCGGTTCAGCCGATTTAAAAAAAAACAGTCGATTAAAAGCCTAATTTTGGCTCGTATACATATACACACTGGAACACACACACATCTATTTTTTTCCAATTTCGGTCTCAAACGATTCAGATAGACTTGAAACGTCAAAACAAATGTAAAATTGACAAGTCAGATTTTCTGACAAAAATAGAACTTCTGAAAAATACTTTACATATGTATATTTATTTAATTATTTTTTTTGAAATAAAATGTATTTTTATTTATAATTATTAATATTATGGAATTATTTTAATTGCAATTTTGCTTGAGAATTTACAATTGATTAATTTTTCTTCTAAATATATCGATAAGAACAATACTAACGCGTAAAGAATGTGTAGAATAATTTTTGCACTGAGTTCATTTGCCGTTTACCTGATTTACCTGAGCTATGCAAGGTTATATTACATACAGGTACTAATTTTATGACTCTCTACCTAGAATTTTGATAAATATCTATATTTAATTCCCAAGTGGATACTTGAAGTAGTCATAAAATTCAAACTCGAAAACTTGGCGGAACAGAAATATTTTTACATATTTTATTATTATCATGGTAGTGCGGGGTACAAAGGTCCAATTTGACTTTAAGTAATTATACTGTGTAAACTAAATGAACTATATAACATGTATCAAACAACTACCAAACTATGCTCAGTTAAGTCCTAATTCTAGAATTTTTTTTTGCAATTTTTCTAAAGTCCCTAAAATTATCCATGAGCGGGGAAGGAAGGGTCAGCCAGAGGGCAAACAAATCCAACTTTTTTTTTAATTTTAAAGAAATGATAGCAACATTCTATAATCAATGTGAAATACAAATTTTATAGGAACATTTTTAACAAAGATGTCAATGTATATAACCTTGATCTGGTAAAAAATACTTAGCAGCAGATTTCGAACATTTTTTTTAATTTATCTCTTGTGATTTTTTTTAATTCAATATAGTTTTTTATTTAGTATTTCTTATTGTTTTCACCTTTGCCAATGTCAAGGTTTTGTTAGCCCTTTTTACTCCATGTAAGCATTTTTAGAAGTTATATAAAAAAAAACTGTTGAATCTAACTTAACAATAACAATACATCTTATAAGACAATTACATAACGAATGCCTATATATTAAGGTATCATTAACTAAATGCAAGAGCTCAAAAAAAAATTTGTATGAATAACAAAAAAAAAAAGCTTTTGTATGAACTTTGATATAATTATGGTGAAGACTGTGGTTACTTTTGTCTTCTTCTATTTCAAAATATTATCACTGAAAAAATTCTATACTTTGCTTGTTTTTGAGGTAATGATGGTGGATATTTTTTACCCGCAGACCTTTAAGCCCCGCTCTACCTTATCTATATATACATATGTGTCTTCCCAAAATGTTGTTCATAAACTCCAGTTCATTTACAATGACTAATTACAAAATTTTCATAAACCGACCTTGTTATTTCTACGAATTTGCAAAGTTGACTAATCCAGCAATGAGAAAATTATAAAACTACGGTTTCGTCACGTCGTTGCCTTCAACGGGACTTTGTCATTTCAAGAAACAAACGCACAAAATAACGAATTCAAGTCTTATTAGATATATATTTCATAATTAAAATAATTAAATCGCACAAAAAATATGTGGGCAATAAATAATTAACACGAAGCTAAGGTAATACTCGTGCAGTGCTTTAGAAAGTTTCTAATCCAATTTAAAATTTAATGCCTTGTTAGAATTGTTTTGCAATGGTAAGGAAATTGATTTGTAAATATAAATTTAGATTTAAATCATTTGGTTTTAGATCGTTAAACAGAACAAATTTATTGTAGTAGGATTCAATAAACTACTGTATTTAGACAGCTTTAGGTTTACAGATATTTTGTTTCATTAACAACAATTGGCTATATATAGTTCTTTTCGATGCAGCAACTCAGTAAATAAATTAATTAGTAAAATCAAAACATTATTAACTTCTCGTAGGGTAAGTTAGTATAACTTACCAAATAAAATCGCAAAAAAATCGAAAATGAAAATTTTTATATATCTCTACGTTTCAGAAGTTTCTGAATATTTTGGCATACCTTAGAAAAAATAGATGTATGTGTGTGTGTATGTGTGTGTATGTGTGCGTGTGTGTGCGGATATAAATTTTCGTCGACGATTTCGAGAATACCGATCAACCGATTTTAACAATTCAAAAAACATTCGAATTGTATTGATACGGAGACGTGCTGATTAGTTTTTGGCGAAGGCAGTTCTAGCCGTTCCGAAGGAATAATCATTTATTGGACTTGGATTTTTTCCCCATTCCGCCCCTGGCCAAGCAATATTTATTTTCCAAAAATGTCTATTTGTACAATAGTGGTCTATACATGCCAAATGCAGTCCAGTTTTAAGTAAATAACCGAAATAAAAAAACAACACAAATAAAACATACATTAAGTAAACAAACTCCTATTTGATAAATAACCGACTAACTTTGCTTCTGCTTCCGTAACAATATGTATTTAGGAACCAAAAGTTAACATGATTTATATAAATATTTCATCTTGTAAAAATACATTTTGGAAAAATGACTAAAACAATACACAAACTTGTGAAACAACCCCGATTGTAATAAATGATATATAAATATATAAACAATATGCGAAGTTGCAGATATATATGCGTTGAAACATTGAGAAAATTTGTTAAAAATGTTAGAAATATAGAATTTTTTTACATCCAAAGATACGTTTTTATGCTGTATTTTTCCATTATCTTTTCCAACAAAAATACATGAATAATTTTCCCAATAATACATGAAGATTTCTAAAAATATCCTGAATTGTTGCCAACCTAATCGCCTCTTATTCCAAAAACTGATAAGTTAAACACATTTACGAGAAAAGTGAATAAAAAAATATATTTTCTCTATATTATATTTATCCATCAGTAGCACTGAATATATATAGATAACAACATCCTTTAGCAAATATCATATCTTGTCTATATTATCAGTATTAAATTTAGAAAACCCAGGTCATATATATATATATATATATATATATATATATATATATATATATATTTGATTTGATGTTGATATAATATAAAGTAAAAGTCGGGCATTAATTTTACATCAATAAAAATAGTTTTTTTTATTTACGATAATCATTACAACTGTTAAATAATTAAGATCTAGCAATGATGATAAATAATAACATAAATTTAAATAAATAAAAGTGCAAAGGATAGAATTTACATTAAAATAATATCCGTAGTATGATGATTTAATATAAAATAAAAACAAATAATAATAAAAATAAAATTAATAAATAAAATTTCTGAATAATAAAATAATACTAGAAAAACAATAAAATATAACAAAATAACAATATTAGAAATAATAATAATAATAATAATAACAATATTAATGTTAGCGTTTACAAATGGCCATTTATGAGATCATTGGGAATAAACATAGTGTGAGAGTTTTAAGAAATTTATTTAAAAACCATACGTTTCGGCTAGCATCTTAGCCTTCATTCAGCGGCAATCAATTTAAAATTTTGTGTCCTATTATAACATATGAAGGTTATTCTTAACTAATATCAAGATTAGGACACAAAATTATAATATTTTACAAATAATCAATAATATTTTATGGAGTTTTTGACTAACAACTCCTAACTAAATTTCAGCAAACCCAATTTTCCATGGGAGTAGACATGAGAATCTTGCAACTTACAAATAAAAATTTAAAAATGTTAAGAAAAACTTTATTGAAAATTGGGCACGAAAATCACTTTTCGACAAATATCTATACTCCACCATACTACTATTTAACGAGTTCAAAAACAAGTTTTTTTTAGCTAACTTCATAATGTCCAAATTGTCCAAAACTTCTTATTGTAATACTAAATATTTGCTAAATTATTAACTAAATCATTCTGCAATGCAAATGTCTAGAGTTCTTTGTAGCGTATCAGAATAAATTTGTGATTAAATAATATTAAGAGTACCATTTACCTCTTCTTTACACCAAAGGCTCTCAAACAATGTTTCGCGTAACCACAAATCACAGCAACGGATATAGTAATACACACACACACAATTATTATCCTTATGCACAATTGAACACAATAATTATATTTTACAAAACACTGAATGTATAAAATGTCAATGACTCGAAAAGTCGGTCGCCTTGGTCATATTTATCTTATAAAATATAAGAAATAATTTATAATATTATTTATATTTAAAATTAGGAAAATTATAACTTGTTGCTAAATTATCTTATCCATACATACATATTCATACATACACATAATGTCGAATGTAGTCATTTTATTTCCAAAAAATTATGAAATTTTAACGAGATTCAATTATAGTAATTTTAAGATTTAAGCAAAACACAAATATTCAAATAACATTAATTTTGGATGTTTTTTATTCAATTTTAGAATTTAGCTCTCTTATTTAATTAAAGGGTTCTATTCTCAAACAAACTTCTTTTGTTATCCTCAAAAACAATCTTCTTATTAAAAATTCTTAAAAAAATATAGAAGTGTCTTAAAATATGATTCTAGTAGACTTTATGATTATGATTATGGATCTCAAATTATTATAATCGAATGAAAAAGAAATTTGCAAATAAAAAATTCTAAAATTTTTAATCAAATTTGAGTAAGTTGTTAATCAATTACATGTCTAATATTTTTCAAACAATTTACCGTTTTGTAATTAATTTTACAGATTAATTAAAGTTAAGAAACTTCATATAACACTAATTAATCATGTAAAAAGATTTTCACGCATGAATTATATAGTTGTTAATAAAAGAAACTACTTTTATAATTAATTTTAAACTTAAACACACACACACACACATATGTATATATATATTTATATATATATATATATATATATAGGATTTTTTTGGAAATTCCAATGAGAAAAAATTTCACTAAAACTGATAAACAAATACAATAACCACATTTAACAAAAACCACTAAACATTCCAACTAAAAAACCTACGATCACATCAATAATTTACTGTATTTCTCCCCAACCATTTTCACACAAAATCACTTATATTATTCTCAAGACCTTTATCAATTATTAATTAATATTATTAGAAACCGTTTTTGACATAAAGTTTTACGCCCACAAAAAAAACACATCCGTGCTCTTCGGCTGCACATTTCAAACTAACCGCGAAACGAAAACAGAACGAAAGGGAAACAACGACAAGTGCGCTTCCATCCTGCGTTGCTATGGTTACAAGAACGCGCGAGATTCGAAATTTTATTATAAAGATTTAGAGAACAATCTTAAATTTAAAAACTATTGTAATACATTTGAATAGTCTGCGAAAATGGTGACAAATGTGCGAAACATTTTATCAAATGACCAGCAGTAGTGAGGTAGTGATATTCCTTTTCACTTAAAAATAAAGATAAAAAAATGTATTCCCCAGTAAAAATAACACAATCGATTTGCCAACACAAGAAGAATGTTTTTTGACCATCGTTCTCTCAAAAACTCGGTTTCTATTTTGTGCAATCTTTCCTCCGTATTCCGAAACGGCTGGGCCTGTCTCTGCCAAAAAATAATCAGCACATCTCCCTACCAATAGAAATCGATTGCAATTTTTGAAATAAGTTCATCCATACGCCCGAAATAGTCGACAAAAAATTGTCTCCACATATACACATACATATACACGCAAATAATTTTTTTCTGAAGTACCCCAAAATGTTCAGAAACCTCTGAAACGTGAAGATATGCAAAAATTTTCATTTTCGATTCTCGGGTCATTACTATAACTTATCCTACGGAAGTTAAAAAATAACAAAATACTAATAACGAACAGAAGGACAACCATTAGGTTTTGACGATTTTGATGAAACTGTATACGATCATAGAGTTTATAGTCTTAATAAACAACATGAAATATTATAGGCCTACGACAGGTGTAATTGTCAATTAATTATTTACACAGATAGTGTAGTTTTCGAACTTTGCATTTTGTAATTGAAACCCTACATATATATTACCCTTGTACATATTTGTATTCATTTTATTATTTATTATTTTATCTGTATGGTTTCTAACAAGAAAATAAATAAATAAATATGTTGTTGCACTATTTTATAACATTTTGAATGAAATATGAAAATACCATAGTTATGAGTTATAAACGTAAAGAAATATAAAATAATAACAGATCATTATTATATGAATAACCATTATAAAAGCATCTAACTCAGTGATTCCCAACCTTTTTTTGGGCCCCGCCCCACCTTGAGGTTTATCAAAACGTTATGCCCCCCCATACAATTTTTTTTCTTCTGGCAGAAACTTCTGGCAAAGACTTCTGGCAGAAACTTCTGGCAAAGACTTCTGGCAGAAACTTCTGGCAAAGACTTCTGGCAGAAACTTCTAGCAGAAACTTCTGGCAAAGACTTCTAGCAGAAACTTCTAGCAGAAACTTCTAGCAGAAACTTCTAGCAGAAACTTCTGGCAGAAACTTCTGGCAGAAACTTCTGGCAAAGACTTCTAGCAGAAACTTCTGGCAGAAACTTCTGGCAGAAACTTCTGGCAAAGACTTCTAGCAGAAACTTCTGGCAGAAACTTCTGGCAAAGACTTCTGGCAGAAACTTCTGGCAAAGACTTCTAGCAGAAACTTCTGGCAAAGACTTCTGGCAGAAACTTCTGGCAAAGACTTCTAGCAGAAACTTCTGGCAGAAACTTCTGGCAAAGACTTCTAGCAGAAACTTCTGGCAAAGACTTCTGGCAGAAACTTCTAGCAGAAACTTCTGGCAGAAACTTCTGGCAAAGACTTCTGGCAGAAACTTCTGGCAGAAACTTCTGGCAAAGACTTCTGGCAGAAACTTCTGGCAAAGACTTCTGGCAAAAACTTCTGGCAAAGACTTCTAGCAGAAACTTCTAGCAAAAAAAGATTTTTAGAATTCTTTGTTTCTTTATAGGCTTGGGGCTACTCAACAACCGGGACTTGAGACTTAGGACTTGGGCTACTCATTAAGCGGGACTAGGCACTTGGAGCTACTCAACTACCGGGGCTTGGGGCTACTCAACAACCGGGACTTGAGACTAGGGGCTACTCAACAAGTCCCGGGACTTGAGTCTTGGGGCTACTCAACAAGTCCTGGGACTTGTGACTTGGGGCTACTCAACAAGTCCCGAGTCCCGCGACTCGAGACTTGGGGCTACTCAACAAGTCCCGAGTCCCGCGACTCAGACTTGGGGCTAGTCAACAAGTCTCGAGTCCCGCGACTCTTGCGACTCGAGACTTGGAGCTAGTCAACAAGTCCCGAGTACCGCGACTCGAGACTTGGGGCTAGTCAACAAGTCCCGAGTACCGCGACTCGAGACTTGGGGCTAGTCAACAAGTCCCGAGTCCCGCGACTCGAGACTTGGGGCTAGTCAACAAGTCCCGAGTACCGCGACTCGAGACTTGGGGCTAGTCAACAAGTCCCGAGTCCGCGACTCGAGACTTGGGGCTAGTCAACAAGTCCCGAGTCCCGCGACTCGAGACTTGGGGCTAGTCAACAAGTCCCGAGTCTCGCGACTCGAGACTTGGGGCTAGTCAACAAGTCCCGCGGCTCGAGACTTGGGGCTAGTCAACAAGTCCCGAGTCCCGCGGCTCGAGACTTGGGGCTAGTCAACAAGTCCCGAGTCCCGCGACTCGAGACTTGGGGCTAGTCAACAAGTCCCGAGTCTCGCGACTCGAGACTTGGGGCTAGTCAACAAGTCCCGAGTCCCGCGACTCGAGACTTGGGGCTAGTCAACAAGTCCCGAGTCCCGCGACTCGAGATTTGGGGCTAGTCAACAAGTCCCGAGTCCCGCGACTCGAGACTTGGGGCTAGTCAACAAGTCCCGAGTCTCGCGACTCGAGACTTGGGGCTAGTCAACAAGTCCCGAGTCTCGCGACTCGAGACTTGGGGCTAGTCAACAAGTCCCGAGTCTCGCGACTCGAGACTTGGGGCTAGTCAACAAGTCCCGAGTCTCGCGACTCGAGACTTGGGGCTAGTCAACAAGTCCCGAGTCTCGCGACTCGAGACTTGGGGCTAGTCAACAAGTCCCGAGTCCGCGACTCGAGACTTGGGGCTACTCAACAAGTCCCGAGTCTCGCGACTCGAGACTTGGGGCTAGTCAACAAGTCCCGAGTCTCGCAACTCGAGACTTGGGGCTAGTCAACAAGTCCCAAGTCTCGGGGCTACTCAACAAGTCCCAAGTCCCGGGACTTAAGACTTGGGGCTACTCAACAAGTCCCGGGACTTGGGGCTACTCAACTATATATATATATATATATATATATATATATATATATATATATGTACATATAGTTGACTAGCCCCAATATATATATATATATATATATATATATATATATATATATGACTAATATATTAAAATTATGATCACTAACCTGAGCTACATTCTCGAAATGCTCGTGCGATTTTTGGTACACGCGCGCTTTCTGCAAATTTCTTCCAATTCCTGTGTTTTTGCGAATAAATACTTCACCATGATTTTCCAGCCAATCCAAAACCTGTAGGAAAACACCTATTAGCTCTTGGAGAATTAAAACAAATTAAAATATTACTGAAGAAACCACTTAATAAATGCGAAGGATGTAATTGTAATGCTAAGAGTGGACCTAACTTCGTTAATCAATCATTTTTAATTTATGAAATACATTGACATCAGTAATTCTTAAAGTAATCAATATCAATGTCTAGAAGATCTAAAACAACTTGCAAAAGACTCTGCAGTTGCTCAAAACAAATTTCAGGTCTATCAATTGAAAATGCGATTCTGATTAGATTCATCCATCAAATTAAAAGCATACATTCCTTACTTTATTTTTCTATTTTAAACTTGATTTATAAATTTACTTACTTTAAGTTTTTAATACTAAGTTCTAAATTGAAAAAAAAATGTCAATATCACATAAGATGTCTATCTCGTAAGGAACCAAAGTTTGGGAACCAACAAATCAGATCTTAAAGAATACTATTGCAACTTTTATCAACGTAAGTATATCTGGCAAATAAAATTGTACAAGGGACAAAATAATAATAGATAGCTTAAATAATAGTTTGAGTAATTGGCCATTTGAGTAAATGACCATAGCTTTAGGATTAACACAAAAACAATTTCACCACGATTAAAAAAAATCTGTTGCTAAAGTAAATTCAATCACATTATCCAATAATGAATAAACATGTATTCTTATATACCTGTTTGACATCCTCCTGAAATAGTCTCAAAGCTAATCTTTGATGCATACTAATTTTGCTCTGATGCCACTTTTGTTCAAGGGCTCTATGGTGACCAAGAATCTGGTGAATGACAGCGAGAACATGAGATGCACCTTCACTGTAATCAGCTGCAGGGTTTCCACCTCCATATCCGGAACAATCCAGCTATAAAAACTCAATATTTATAGTCTATACCAAGCATTGAGAAAATATAATGTTCACAAATCTGATTCAGTTTATAAGAAATACATTTTTAATTAAAGAATCAATATCATATTCGTCTTTTTTAAATATCTTCTTATAATTTAATATGTATAAATAAATAATATACACACATGTTTTCTATGATCCGGTAAACCAGGTTGCGGAGGTTGATTGCAAACTTGTACGAGATGATCTAATTGATATAATAACTTCTTGCTTGTTGAATGAACCTGGAATAAAATCATAAATATTTAACAATTGATATCTTTTATAATAAACACAAGAACATAGCTTGAATTATTTTAGCATAGAGAAGTATAAGTAACAAATCACCACTGAAAGCTGAAATAAAATATTTAAATGTTGATGATTAAAGTAAGATGAGTAGTACATGAAAATTTTAATGATCAAAGGATTTTATTATAGATACATATGGCAGACAAAATGTCTGTAAACCAGAATAATCTTCCTTTCTCATATGTATTTATTCTTCTCAATTAGTTGAGAAACAAAATATTATAGACAAGTATAGAGCATACAGATATTTAACATGAATAACAGAAAGAAGATTAAACAGGGTTCGTATTTTTGACCTTTCCAATTTGCTAAGGAACCTAATTCTATACTCTATAAATCTAATATCCAAAACCATTTGGTTAGTTCTCACGATCTATAGCCTTCCAGACCTAAATTAAGTTTGCATTCTCCATTTTACCTGCAACCATTATTCAATTATTGGCTAATTGTTCACCAAAACCAAGATTAGAGCTTTAACCATTAGATTCCAATTTGAATCCAACAACCAATTACTAGAATCTATAAAGTGTTAGTTAAGAATTAAAAAAAAGCAAATAATTATTATTTTGGTTTCAATTACACTCAGATCATCTTCTTCATCTTTGATGATTTCAGTCCTTTCTTGATTGGGAAGTCCATGGCATACTTGCAACATTGTATCCAGACCATTCAATAAGATTTGGTACGAGTCGTAAACCTTTTTCAGCACAATTATAATATATATTTACTTTATATAAACTTTAGATAATATAATATATAATAGCTAAAAATATTATATGCATATGCTTTACTTTTCAACAACTTATTAATTTCTCAGAAGAATTAATTTCTCATTTATTATACTTCGAATAGAATTATTCAAATAGTGCAGTACATTTTATATTCTTGAATCTCTTATTATTTGTATAAGTATATATTACCTCAGTGTAAGCCTGACACATAGCTTCATATAAATTCTGGTGCTGATGTATGGTTTGTTCTAACAGATGAATATCAGTCGGCAATGGTCCATTCTGTCCCTGACAAGCTGCTGACCATCCAGGCACACTAGCACAATATTGCTCAGCTTTATGGTGAAAGATTACTGATAATGCTAAAACTGCTGTTCTTTCATCCAATCTATAATATAATAATAATAATAATAAATAAATGTAAAAACAAACCAGATTATATGATTAATAGTTATCTATTCTTACCCAGCAGCAAATTCCTTCCAGGTCCGATCTAATCTAGTGGCAACTGCTCTGATGTGTTGAGCAGCATAATGACCATCTTCGGTTAGTCTATTTGCAACAGCCAAGATTCTGCTGATATTTATCGAAACATTCATCGAGGCAACTGCAAATCCTTGATGTTTTTGTTGAAGACATTTGGCCAAGGCATAACTGTGACCTATTTCTACATAGCTCATGTGGAACTTGTCTCGGTTTTGGCAAATCCATTTAAACATCTATAAGAAGAAAATGATATAATTCAGTAGATCTGAATTTACTTTATGATAATTTAAACACTATCTATCTATTATCTCACCTCCTCACAATCATGTTCAAACAATCTCAACTGAAAGCACTGATCCAATTTCGTCTTCTTGGTGTGCCAAGTTTGAAGCACGTGGTCTTTGGCCGCATGTACGGATTCCAATTGTTGTAGAACTTGTGGTATACAGGCTGCCATATCAGGATTGGTGCAGGTTCCCAAAGAGCTATTGGATGCGTTGTTTGATGAACTGTCCGAATGATTGTCACTTCTATTATGAGATGATGATGATGATGAGATGCTTGCATCTGCTCCTAATCTTTGGAGCAACCTCTGACCTGGGGATAAAAAATAATTAAAATATTACCAACAGTAATAAATTTTTATTTACGTGTTGTTCTTTCGCTCATAATATATTTATTTTTCTAAAAGGTCAAAGTTCAAGGAGAAAATTCAAATTATAATGGATTCATAAATCAAATATTTACCTTGCAATTCTAAATCCTCTATGGGAGTCTTCAAAATCTTCTTTTTCATATCATTATGCAAATCGATACCGTGTTTGGCTCCTGGAACGTCTTCGGCAAAGTCGCTTCTTGACAAATCCTCCTATTATGTGATAGAAAAAGATTATCATATCAAATAACGAGACAAGCACTCTAGAAAAATGACATTTTTTCAAGTAAAAGTGTATTAGAATAATGTAGGTATAGCATTTCGTAAATCGAATATTGCCCATGGGATTTACTATCAAACTTGTTTAAATATTTTATCTGTTTTCAATTATTTGTTATCACCATTACTAATTTATTGTGTCTATATTATTTCTGCAGGAATAAAAATATCTTCATGATAATTGAGGAAAAGCAAGGATTTTCATTTCAAGTACCTGTAAATCGTCCAGTCTGTCCAGAAGATCACCAGCTTGCCAAGAGAATTCTTCCAACATCAAACGAAGATCGATCCATTGAGCATGATCATATGACAAAGTTCCTTCCAAATCTGCTGTTATTTGTGATGAATCCACGATTTTGGATAAGCCTTCCAGAGATATTAGAGTAGTCTGAAATATTAAAAATCATTTATTAAAATATATAATCATACAGACAGACTGACTATATTCCAGTGAGACACATTGTCTGGTGTAAGAAATCACAGAAAATATTTTTACAAATAATTCAAATATTTTGACTATTGTTGCATACTTTAATCTATAAGTTTAAATAAATGAAGACTATAATTATAGCCAAAATGTATGATTTTTAAAATATAAATTAAAAAAAATATATTTTTTTATATTATTAACTCTTTTATTTACAACTGTCCAGTAAAAATATGTTGATGTTACCACCAGGTACAATTACATTGAAGATATATATATATATATATATATATATATAATATATATATATAATTGAAATATTAGTAGCAGGTTCTTGTACGACTTTAAATACAATAAACATGGAAAGATATTGTTTTAGAAATTGCACTTTAGCAATTTGATAAATGGTGAGTCAGCTGATGCATTAGGATCTTCTTGCTTAATAAAGTTTCAAAATAACACTTGAACAGTGGCGGTCAAAATAGAAATACAAGCCAGAAAAATTGACAAAAAAAATTATGAACACAAATATAATTATAGCTTTGCAGCACGAGTGAAGTATATAGTCTGTGATCAAAATTTTTAAAACAACCCATAAAAAATGATATAATAAATAAAATAGAAATTATAAAATAAAGTGTGCAATATATATAAATATATGTTTCAAAACTAATTCTGCCTATCCTCTCCATCATTACAAAATCAATTAAATTATTCCAAAGATATCAAAACTTAATCAAAATAGTAAGGTAAACTTAGAGTTAGAACTATGCTGCAAAACTTTCTCTATATATCAAAGTTTGAATTTGAGTGACGTCAAAATCAATATTTACCATTAGAAATTAATAATAAGATTTAATAATAGAAGAAACATTGCCTACAAACTTTGTAAATACCTTGCTTTTTAAACTTTAATACATTATTAGTTACTACTTATGTGTAAAAAAATCAAATGATAAATTTTGATAAACATAGAATGGGATCAAGTAAAAATCGTAAGTATGTTGCCCACAAATTTAGAAAGCTCATCAGACAAATTAAATTACATTTCATTCTTAGTTACATCTTAATAAAAAAAATACTAAGCACAAAAAATTTACAATTAATACTATGTTGCCACGAAACATAAAGAAACACATCTTACTTTTTGAATCCTATTGCAGCAGCATTTAATTAGAAATTTAGCTTTTTTTTAAGAAAATTTTGTAAGAAAATCGTATTATTCAAGAACGAAAAAATAGTATTATGCAATACAAACTGTATATATCTGTATATATCTAACTGTATCCTATTACAAGAAACTAATCCAATTTGGCATACATCTTGTAAAAGTATCAAGAATCCTATTTAATTTACCGCACCACCGCCCGCCTGTGATATAAACGAATGAAAAACATATGACACTTACATTTTATTTTATTTTATTTTTTCATCTTGGTTGTGAATCCATATTTGTGATGACACAAATAGAAATCATGAAAGGACGACGAAGGATAACAGTATAAATCTCGGGCAGAGCTAACTGAAAGTGACTCAGAGGGAAAAAGACAAGAAGGATGATGATGTACCCGGAGTACCTACTAGATGTGCATTTTGTTATAGTAAATGCAGTTGCTCTTTTCTGGATTATAATTTTTTCAAATTGTGTACAAGTATAGTTGTGAAAAATCAAGTATTAAGATGTGTGTGTACCTCGTACACTAAAGATTCTTGTTAACTTCCCGTAGGGTAAGTTATAGTAATCGCAAAAAAATCGAAAATGAAAATTTTTATATATCTTTACGTTTCAGAGGTTTCTGAACATTTTGGCATACCTTAGAAAAAATGGATGTATGTGTATGTGTGTGTATGTATGTATGTATGTACGTGTGTGTATGTATGTGCGGATACAAATTTTCGTCGACGATTTCGGGAACACGGATCAACCGATTTGAATAATTCAAAAAACATTCGATTCGTATTGATAAGGAGACGTGCTGATTAGTTTTTGGCGAAGGCAGGTCCAGCCGTTCCAAGATACGGGGCAAAAAGTGCCAAAAACGGTAACTCAGTTTTTAAGAGAACGGAGCGTCCGATTTTAATAATTCAAAAAAACATTTGACTTGTATTGACAAGATGAAGAATTGATCAAATTTTCATGAGGGCAGGTCTAGCGGTTTCGGAGATCTAACAAAAAAAGTAAAAAAAATGCCATTTGGCGGTCAAAAATGATCATTAGACATATGCACATCAAATTATCAGATATTTTATAGAGATTTTAACAATAAGTATAAATTTTGTTTGCATTCCTATGGGTTCCGTACCATATTTATTCGTTAGACGTCGACGCGGCGCTTACGCGCTTTGACATTTTGTCTCTATGCAGTTAAAGCAGTACGATTGTTTTGAAAAAAGATCTTCCAAAATATGCCAAAATAAAGAAAACATTATTTTTTCCAAAAAAATTTAAAAAAAAAAAAAAAAATTGATTTTTTTTTGAAAAAATTTTTTTTTCAAAAAAAAGTAATTTTTTGTTTTAATTTATCGAAGTAAATTTGTTTTAAAAATGTCAATCGTTTTTAAAAAAATAATAATTTTTGGTACGGGAAGTTCCAGCAATTTGCCTTAAGGCACGATGCCTTAATTGCCTTAAGACAGAATTCCACTTACAGCTAGTTTTTATTAAAAATAGCCTATTTTTACCAAAGAATAAGAGTATAAATCTAAAGCAGAGCTAACAGAAAGTGACTCAGAAGGAAAAAAGGGCTAAAAAGATGATGTACTAGATGTGCATTCGTGGTGGTAATGCATATGCTTCTTATAGCTTATGATTCTTTAAAATATAATAACAATAGTTGGTGAAAAATTTAATATTGAAGTAAAAGCCCAAGTCGTACACAAGAATCTCGTTTCTGTTAATTTTAAATATGAGTTTCCTGCATTTTTCCAAAAAATGCATATTTCCTGTCGTGAAAGTAAAAATATTATTTTTCAAAATATTTAACAGAACTTCATTATTTCCCAATTTTCAGTATATAAAACATGTACAATTTGTTCAACCGCTTAGATGACTTGGTCTTTGAAAAAATTGATCTTTGATGGATTTGTTGAAATTTACTAAGATCTTTTCTCATATTTTTACGCTCATTTTTTTATGATCAAATTGAAAGAATTTGATTGGCTACAGCGTAAAAAGTCTAAGCTCTCTGTTGAAAATACGTTATTGCTATATAAGTCAATCATTAAACCAATCTGGACCTACGGAATTGAGCTCTGGGGATGTGCTTACAAATCAAATATAGCTATAATGCAGAGAACTAAGTCAAAAATTTTACGTACAAGACTTAATTCTCCGTGGTACGTTACAAATGAAACCATTCGCAGCGATCTCAACATGAAAACGGTGCAATTAACGTTCAAAGAATTTAAGGAAAAATACAAAGGTAAACTGGAATCACATTAAAACCCATCAATAGGCGACATTTTACAACCATTCGGCGTGAAAAGATTAAAACGTCAATGGCCTTTCGATTTAGTCTTAGATTAGTTTCAATATATAATTATCTTTTTAATTGTTAAACTAAGAAGATCTCATCGGAGTTCTTCTTACATATCGCTCTCAAATATTGTCAATTTAGCTTATAGGAATTCATATGTATTTCTGATTGCTGAATAAAATAGAGTTAAAAAAATATTTTTACGCCAATAATAAAAACAAGATTAATAAATGACATCTATTATAAATAGGATTGCGACAATCTAGGACAAAGAAGAATTTACCTTTCTCTTCAAAAACCGCTCTAAAGAAAATCTTTTTTACAATTCACAAAAAACACAATTAATTACACTACTGTTCCAGTATACTTTTCTCAAATAACTATAACTATCCTATATTTAATCCTCAATCTAAGATTGAACGATCTAAGAAATCCATCTCCAAGGATTTCCATCGGCGCCGACTGGACTGGACGCCCGTCAACAACTAAGACTGTTTTGCTGCCGAACATAATTTGCAAACTGTCGCACTTGATGAGGTTAATGATGAAAAACTTAAGGAAACTAGAGAAAATACTTATAAATTGTGATTTATAGCAAAGCAAATAACGGGCAGATTGAAGAAGTAGAAATAAATCATCTTCATTAGAGTTGGAATTAATTGTTTGTTTTTGCGAATACCGAGCAGTGTTCCAAAAATAAATCATATTCGGTTACACGATGTAGTATCATTAGGTTCTTTCTGAAGTTACATTTAATATATGTGCAATTGATAATAATAAAATAAACATGGTTTATTTTAAAAAGATTGGGCGTATAATTATATAATTAGTATTAGACAATATCAATTATTAAATTCTAACTAAGATATAATTAATAATAAATTCATTTTTAAGGTATGATAAAAAGTTCATTTTTTTAAATCCACTTGGTATATAAAATTTGCAGAAAAAATGGTTATACTAGATTTATTCTTCAGGTTCTATTTTTTTTTAAATACAATACCCACAAACAAAATTTTGTGTTTTTGTATCATTTGTAGTTAATATATTTATATATATATATATATATATATATATTAGAGTGGTCCTTAATATGGACATTTTCGAATTTCCTTGCTCCCAAGGGCTCAAATGGTTCCAAATTGATAAACAATTCTCTGAAAGTATTAAGCTCTTAATATTGTCTTTTAAATAGAGCGCAATTCAATCAAAGTTTTGTATGGAAATAGCATAAAAGAATTTCAAAAATTATGCAGAGCGTCGAATTTTCAATAAAGAATTACACGAATTTTTACTTTTAATAAATTTGTCGCTAATTTATACATAAAAATTTTTTTTTTGAATTTTCAAAAATTTTTCCATGCTATTTCCATACAAAGTTTGATTGAATTGCGCACTATCTAAAAGTTAATATCAAGAGCTGAAACTTTCAGAAAAGTTTTTTATCAATTTGGAACCATTTGAGCCCTTGGGAGCAAGGAAATTGGAAAATGTCCATATTAAGGACCACCCAAATATATGTAGACATATGTATATATAGTTAAATATATTGTATCTAACAACGATGCTACAAATGATACAAAAACACAAAATTTTGTTTGTGGGTACAAAGGCTATTGAGTTATGTGTTGTTTATAATAAATATATGCAAAATGCATTAGTTAACAGTTATAGATATCATTAGATAAACGTCATAAACAGTCTGACAAATGTAATTACATAGATTTGATGATTCTATGTTCGTAATTAAACCGCTGCGGCGTCACATATGGTTCATATAACATGAGACTAATAACCTGCATTTACGTTTATTTATAACAACGCCCATAATAAACTTTAAGTACACACAAACATACACACACACACACATATATATATATATATATATATATACTATATGACACATACTAATCAAAGACATACACACTACCAAAACCATTTTACGTCCAAATTACAGATTTATCTGGAGATTAAGGGGCACACCTAGTGTAACAACCTAAAAACGGCAATTTTTGGAAATTAAAATAAAAAAAACTAGTGTATCTATCTATTTAAAATTTTGAGGGTACATTTACACATGTTTTGAAAAAAGACAGTAAAATTTTTGACATAAAATATTAAATATTTTTGAAATGACACAAAAGGCAGCACAAAAAAGGTCCTCCACTGCTGGAATGATTGCAACATTCTCCGTTGATAAAACATTAAAAAAAATTCTCGTTAAACTAAAACGTATTGTCTGTACGATGACCCTCGGGCTAACAAAAAAAAATTGACAAAATGGCGGCATGTTGAAGAAAAAAATTTTGGCCGTTTTTGGCATGCCAAAATTCGATTTTTGATCAGATCAAAAGACTGGAGGGTCATCGTATGGAGAACTATATAGAAGAGATGCAAAAAAAATTGGTAGCGATCGGATCATTTGACTTCGAGTAATCACTCCAGCAAATTCGAAAAATGCTGTTTGGGGGCGTCCATTAATCACGTGAGGTTTTTAGGGGGAGAGGGGGTTTGATAAAAAATCACGAAATATCACTTGGGGGAGGGGGGGTATAGTAATTTTCACGTGTATTTATTTGTTAACTGATTTTTTTTAAAAAATTGAAACATTTACAAAAAGATTCAAAAATTTAAGTTTTTTCACGCAAATAAAAATACACGTGATGTTTTTTCACGCAAATAAAGATACACGATGGGGGAGGGGAAGTAATTTTGAATATCACCATATATCACCAAGGGGGAGAGGGGGTCCAAAAATCTTTAAAAACTCGCTCACGTGATTAATGGACGCCCCCTTTCGGGAAAAACGCGTTTGGATAAAATGATCGTTATACTATATACTATGTATATACTCTTTTAAATGGCTGTAACTCAAAAACTATTTAAGATATCGATTTAAAATTTTAGTATGTTATTTTTAAAGGTATAATTTATTTGATATTTTCACACTAGGTGTGCCCCTTAATCATATAAAAATGCAAATAGATATTAATTTTTTGTCTCTATTTCTAATTTAGATATATGAATCCTACCTCGAATTTGTATTTCTGCGATCCGATGCCAGCGCGCTGCTTCTGCCAGAGTCCAGAAGGCCTGACGACCACGGCCTGGTGCACCACCCCTGGCGGACAGAGCTCCTGGAGGGCCTTCAGAATAGGTTTCGCAGAACCCGTGGCTGGACCCCGCATGTCGACTATCACAGTGAAACCTATGGCCCTTACATCGTCACTGGAAGAGGAAAATAAAATTTATAAATAATAATGAATATAGTACAATAATATATAACAATAAGGGGACGTTCAATAGTCACGTGATCGATTTTTAAGGATTTTTGGACCCCTCCCACCACTTGGTGAGGAATCGTTCAAGTATTACGTAAGCAGGTTTATCACAATTATTTACCCCCCCCCCCCCAACCCCTTGTCAGCAAAAGTAAGCAAAGCTCTTACCCAAAATTGCCCAAAATAAGCAAATCAAATACCCCCCGTCCCCTATAGTGCTCACGTAATACTTGAACGGCCCCTGATATCGAAAATTAAAAAACTTGTCTTCACATACAAAACATCTTGAGCTTAGATAGAGCATATTTCTTAACTATCTCGGTACATACTTTTAACGTAATTATATTTTAATATCGATTTAAAGATATCTATTAAATATTAACTATTAATCAGTGGTTTCCAACCTTTTCGTACCTCGCCGCCTCGTTGTTATAAATAAAATCGTTACGCATCCATTAATTAAAAAAAAAAATCATAAATATTCAACTGATATTAGAATTTAATTATCAGATTAAAAATTAATATATAACATTATGTAAAAAAAATAAATAATGAATATATTCATTCATTCAATTTTTATTCAATTTCAGAGTTTTTGTTTTATTTTCTAAAATAGTATTATTAGTAAACAGTTGAATGCCCTCTGGATACAGCCTCGCACCCCATGAGAGAGAGCGACCCATAGGTTGGGAACCCTGCACTAACCTGTATATCTATCATTATTATAAGTTATCTTAAAATAAATGTTTAGTTAAACCATTCTTCGCATTTAAATTAAAACAAACGAATTTGTCATAATCTTAAGTGTTTTCCATCAGAAATGGATAGGCACACGATAAATTTAAAACAATTTGTATATCATTGTTAAATATAATTGTTTATTCAAAACATTGTTTTCAATATGCTGCTTGTTTTTGTGAAAAACCTTTCTTTTCTAAATAGTGCAGTAAATGGAACATTTAAATTCAAATTACTTTCTTTATATATAGTACTAATAAATGTATGAATATACCCATAATATACCTATAAAATTAAATATATGCAATTGAATTTTTTTCCTAAGTGGTAATTATGTTATTTCAGCTGGAAATCATTGTTTTTCTTTAAGAGTTGAAATGCAAAATTTCAAATATACAAAATATACATACTGAGGGGCTCGTGCATATGAGTTGAAATTCTACATGTAGTACAAGGGGTTCATATGAGACCATAATCAATAATTTCCCAGAGCTAGAAATATGATATATATATATATATTATATATATATATATATATATATATATATATATAACATATATGAATATTCAAAACCAATAGTTTGTTTGAAAAAATATTCATAATAATTCTTGGGGAAAATCTTGACCACTTTTGATACTCAAGATAATATTAGAAGTTTATATAGGAATACAAAAGAAAAAATGATCTCTGATATATATATATATATATATATATATATATATATATATATATATATATTGATCTAATTGCAGAAATATAAACTTTTTTATTATGAAATTATTCCATTCAAATATTGGCTACAAAGCACTGTACACGTTTTAAATTATACACAATAAAACAAAAATAATATATAAATCATTTGAGTTATCATTTCACTTATCATATTTATGCATCATATAACAAGTTGCCCATTCAATCATTTTCAGAGATAGAAATCTAGCCTACAAATCACTTTTATAGTATTTTTTATTATCGTTTTGACCAAATGCAGATCCTTGAGTGTGAGAGCAACAAATCCTGTGCTCTTTTTTCGAGCTTTGGTTCAGGATGGTACTCCTTATATATTGCTCCTTTCACCTGTCATCCTTCATTTTTATTTTTTTATACATTTTACTTTTCGAACTTTTACCTACTTATTTTTGCTACTAATTTCATGTATTTTCACTTTTTTATAAATCGTCCAACATTTGTATTTTTTCTTTGTCCAAGTTTTTTTGAGTTCAGATATTTTCACAATATGGATTGGATTCAGTTTCGTTTTCTGTCTGATTTGTTCAGATTTACTCAGATTTTTATTTTCAAAAAAAAAATGGAAGAAATCAAGTAACTCGGACAACCACAAAACTAAATTAAACCAAGTGTATTATTATTATCAAAACTATTCTTAAGAAAATCCTAAACATGATTTTTTTAAAAATTAACATAAATCTAGTTACCCCAAACAGATTTTCCTCGTTTAAATCTGTTTCAATATAAGCTTCTGTGAGAGAATATTTTTTCTTTAAGAAAAATGCGTAATATGTATTCTAAGCGTTCGCATCTTCAACAATAAATGCCTCTCCGAAACAGTTATGCTCAAACCTTCTTCCATTTACATATTCCATTACCCCTTGATAGATAAACTATAAAGAAATTTGGTTTAAGGGTTGGGAAAAAAAAGTATGATACTAAAAGATTGTATGAATCCTGTTATGGTTATGTAGACATACTTGAGAGGATCGAAAAATTCGTATGAGCTTTTATTTCACAAATTTATCAAAAAAGGTGAGGATAAATGACCCAGATAATAGAAATAAAAAGAAGAAGCCTAGTGATATACACAGGGAAATATACACCCAGAACATTATTAATTATAATTTTTAACAAATGCATAATTTAATTTTTAATGATTTTTTCTAATTATATATAATTGAAAATAAGTGCACAGATATTCAAATGTATGTGTGTATAATGCATGTGTATATGTATGTATGTACTTAAATACCAAAGTTTTAAATAGTTTAAGTATTTATAAAAATATTTACTGTAATAAATATTTACATACCGATATTTACATTGACAATGGGTCTGACTGACAAAACTTTAATTAGTTTACATCATTAAACCTTTTCTCACAGGTTTATATTATTTTAAGGAGTTAGTCTTGACTATTAACTCTTTCACTATGCAAAATTTCATCAAAATCCTTTCGATTGAAAATCGAAAGTGTTCCTCGTGAAATGTAAGTATGAACATATAGTATTATTTTTTATTAAATGAAAAAATAAATGTTTTCCTCCCCTGCTCTATATCATTCGCCTTTAAGAATATAAAGTAGAAGAATGAGAGTCCACAAAGAATGTCAGAGATTTAATGATAACAGCAGAAGTTCTCCTGCTGATTTGGAATTATGCGAAACAATTCTGCTGCTATCTTTATGAAAATGTTTTAGCAATAAACTGAAATGTGATTTTCATTTTAATAAAATATAAGATATCGTTAAAGAGGATAAGATAAAGAATGAAAATAATATAGAAATACTTTCGATTCAATTGGCAATATCTTAAGGTGCACTTTGTGGCAAATGAAAAATCTATCAATTATAATATTAGCTGCTGGTAACCTGCATATATTTGTATTATTCTTTTCCTATTAAATTAAATCAATCAGTCTTCGATAATTAATTAATGAGTCAACTTCCAAAACAATCAAACGACTTTAATTCTTCTTGGTAACAACCCAAGCTTTTATTCTCAGTAATGAACTCTACGTATTTGTTTGTAGATGTTGCCAATAAAGCCAAGAAATGTAAGTAATTAATTAAGGAAATTAATTAAGACTTATTTTGTTTATATAAATTTGAAACAGAAATTTAATACTGTTGATGTAAACTGTAAATTAATATTACTGGAAAAGAAAATCTATTTGTGGCTTTGTGGAAATTCTATACGTTGTGATAAAATTCTAGCTTTAGCTAATTAATTTTAGCTAATTTGTATACCATTTGTAAACTTCAGAACATTTTTCTATATAATATATATTAATAGTAATCAAAAGATCATATTGATTTTGTATATTGTATGTAGACTCTATATCATTCAATCAATGTATCACTTTTGTTCTATTCCATCAAACTTTTAATTTAATATAAATAAAGTATCAAAAATTAAAAATATTGTAGATTTGGGAATTAAACCTTAAGTTTAAAATATAGACAAAATTATATTTCCACCTATTAAATACACCTTCCTATTAAATTTTCAGTAATAATTACCTTAATAAATTATCTAAATATAAAATCCAATTACAAAACCTAATAAATCACATTTTATACTCCCTCCTTCCTTTTAATGAGTCCATTTTAAATTATTGGGCAAGTCCTGCTATTTACTTTAATTACTATTCGGAAAATGGGTAGACATCTGCCTTCCACAAAAGTAAAGGCCAAAGAAAATGGATTTCACAGTTTGCTTTTAATGAAAATTCTCGACTGAAACGTTTTCCCGTACAACAATAGTACAGGTGGGTGATAAAACGATTAGATTTCATGTTTTTGTACAATTCCAGAAAAAAGGATTAAATCTAGGTATTGGAAAATGTACAAATGTTACATTTTTATTTTTGTATGTGATATGTTTGATAAAGGTGTAGTAAAAATTAATTTTTACATACTTAATTACTTACTTTAATTTTTTACTTACTTACTTACTTTCTTCATGTACTTAAATAATAATAATAAATAATAATTAGTTATTTAAGTACATAAATAATAAAAAGAGTATTCCCATTACCAAGATCCCAATCGTGGGAAGATTAGATGTTCAAAAACAATACACAGAAATTTCAATTATTAAACACAAATATTGCAATTTATTGACGTTACAATTGTGAGCTTCGGCGAGTCCCACGCATGTGTTCCCAACCTGACACGATGTGCCATTTTAGGGTAGCTGACAGTTCAATCGCCCCGGAAATTAAATTCATAAAATCATGAAATTTTTGTGGCAAAATGTACATTCAAACTACTTTTATAGATATATGTGATTATAGATAGTATCATCTTTATACATTTTATATAGGAACGAGCGAGACTTAAAAGTTCGTGGGTAAAACGGTCCAACACCAATATCTCCAAAACAGGTGAAAGTAGAAATTTTTCACAATAATGTTTGAAAGTAGAGGGAGAAAGATGCAACATTGGACTAATAGCAGCAGATCAATGTATTTAT